AGGCTAGAAGAAAGGCAAAATAAATAAATGAATAAATGAATGACACGATCATAATGAGCTGTTGCAGTGGCAGTAAAACTTCAAGACACAAATATAAAACAAGAAAATAACTATGACTTTGGGTAGAACTCAACTAGCAAAGATGAAGCAAGAGATTAAGAGAGTTACAATTTTTCTTTAAATAAATGAAATGATAGTGGTTGAGGAAAAAATTGTAAAAGAAATGAGACCTATGGAGGAAAGAACTGGAAAGTGAATTAACAGTCTGTCACAAGAAGTACAAACTCCCTGAAAATTAGAATGAACCAAATAGATGGTACGCATTTTATCTTCACGCAAAATTGACCATGTATTAGAGCTGTGGTATAAAACTCAAACAGAAAAAGGGGCCACTAATCCCTACACAAGTATGCCCATAGATCTTGGGCCTTTTGTCTTCTTTAACTTCTATGGGCCTTGATAATTTTCATACTCTTAGGATACACTATTTTTTTCTAGGCTACTTAAATACAAATACTTCACCCTGGTTTATGTTGCTCCCAACTGCTCATATATGTTTACCTTTTTTATGGTTTGTTTGGTTTTTTTATTCCTGTGTTTACATTCCAAAGTGTCTACTCAGCTTTAGTTATTTCATCAGCATTGCTTTGAAGTCCTCTATTTCATTAAAGATCCATTTTTTCCCCTATAGGATTATAAATTTTTCTGGGTAAATTATTCCAAGTTGTAACATATATATGTATGCATATGTATGTGTATGTATGCACACACTTATTTATTTTTTCCTTTTACATAAAAATTCTAGATTTGGGTTATGATGTACTATTTTCACTTTCCCTCTGACTCTAATATATCCAGACAGTTTTCATTCATGATTTCTCCAAATATGGTATACAGTCATTGGTTTTGTCATGGCTTTTAAGTTGTCTAATGATCATTAGAATTTTTTCTCTCTGAGGTATTTTCCAGAACAGTTGTATTTTATATCAGATATCTTAAATTTTCTCCTATTTTTTTCACTCTTTTTACTTTAATATTTCTTGTTTCATCGTGAATTCATTAATTTCAGTTAGATCCCCTCTAATTTTCAACAAATCTACTGACCTGGGTAAGGTTTCACACCTTTTGTAATTACCTGCTAATTCTCCATCAAGGTCTATCCTCTAGAACTCTCATTTCTTTTCACATTCTTTTCTCTACAGCACTAATTTCACTTATAGTATTTTTAAACTCTTAATTTCTCCCAGGAATTCTAGTTGATCATAAGGCTAAGCTATATTTTAATTTTAGGCTTTGCTTCCATATTTTGGGGAATTATTCTCTTCTGGGTATTTGTTTTAGGTGCCTCAGACTCCATAATGGTTATTTATCCTTATCTTTCTATGATTACTTTTTCTTCCATTCTTAATACCTGAATTGAGACTTTGTATTAGGGCCTGGATTTTCACACTTTTGGAGGGACTACTGGGCCCTTGTTTGGTCCTGTTCTATATTTTTTGGATCTTCATGTTATTATCTCCAGTTACTGAGCCACAAACATATAACTGTTAAGGACCTCAGTGGCAGTTCAGGCCAAGTAACTGCAACAGAATTGCAGACTTTCCTCTAGTCAATGCTCCCTGCTCTGGTCACTGAGATGGAAGCTCTAGCCCAGTCATCTGAGCTCACCCTGAGATACTGCTCAGGGTCAGAGTGATAGATCTATAGGCTCATCCATGAGTCTGCATTCCCTTCTCTGCAGGCCCTAGCTTCTATTCTTCTTTGTCCTTATTCCAGGTTCTACTTAGCAGCAAGCAAGTCAAAATCTCTGTACTGAATCCATAGTCCTGCTCTGCAGTCTGAATGACAAAGTTAAATGTTCACCTCTATCACCCTGCCCCATCCCCATCCATTACACAGACAAAGGTTCAATATGCCTGAAGATTTTATATGGACTCTAGTGGTTGGACCTCCACCCTATTGCCCAAAGACCTTTCTCTGGCTATCTCCCCTGATAATTTTGGCTGAAAAAAATTACTTACTATGGTTTCTCCTTGGATTTTTGAATCACCACTCAGTCTGATGTTCTTCACTAATCTTCAATGGAGCTATTAGAGACAGTTAACCTGTACTGCTTCCTCTTATTCCTTCATCTGTACCAGTATCTGAGAGACACTGTCAACTAAGAAATGGCAAGGTTTGGCAACTATCTGGATACTTGTGGATTGAATGAAAATGAGGAGTCAAGAATGAAATCAAGTCTGTAAATCTTCTTGACTGAAAGGATGGCAAAGACCTCAAAAGAAAAAAGGAAATTTTGCAGAGAGGTGGGTTTTAAGAGGAAAAACTAACATAGTAAGATCTGTAATGCAGACTGTAAACTATGTCTGTTCATGCTGTGTGACACAAAGACTTGTGTTTTATCCAAAGATGCAGAAGGCCTTTACTCATGGATCATTGCCTTAGAGTACAGGGCTCATTCTCTGAGGAGCACCTCTCACACTCACAAGTTGAACTAGGGGACAGGAGGTGGGTATGCTATTAAACTGAGAAGAAGTTTCACAATGTCACCTATGGAGCTACTGCTTTGAGTGATTGGGATATAGTTACATCATAACAGCCCTATAGAACTTGATGTAAAGTATAAGAAGAGGGAGGGAGACTGCCTGCTTGTTTGGCAGAGGAGAGGACGAAATAGGGAGTTATGCTGGGTAAAGGATAAATGTATTAGAGATAAATCCAAGATTTGATTATCTTCTAGAGAGGTCAGATTTAAGCCTTTCTTGCCACCCTCCAATTTGTTGAGAACATGACTATTTGGGGTCATGCTATGGCCCTTTGGGGGCCAGCACTTTAGAAACCACTGGTCAAAACCATGCATGCAAAATTTAAGCACATACTGTTTTGTGCTATATAATTTTCAGTGAAGGTAGCAAGTCTTCCCCAACACTAGAGAGGGTAAGCTCCTGAAGAAGATACTTAATATTTTGTATTTTCAAGCCTTGACTCCTATTATATTATAAGATACTTGAGGACAGTTATTTAGTTTTATGGTTTTTGCATCCCCTTCACAACACAAAATAAAATATTTTGCATATGGTAAATTCTCAAGAAAAAGTGGATTGATGTGCATTGAATTTACTTGTCTAACAATCATGTATTTTCTCATCATTCTCACACATGTTCATGCCAGAGAAATGGCCAGACAAATGGTTTTCCAACTAAATGACAAAAGCTGCTTAACTTTAAGTCCTCTTCCAACATCTCCTCAATTCCATAAGCAAAACCCTACCCAACCTTTCCTAAATTCCATGAAAAAGTCACCCTAAACACTTTCAAACCATAAAGAAAGGAGGCACAAAAAGTTGATAAGAGGTAATAATATATAGAGCCATAATCACCAACTACTTTAAAAAGTTACCTCTTACTCTAAACCATATGAACACAGCAAAACCCACAAATGACACAAAGCTCTTGGTAAAGCAATAGAAGTAGTGTAATGCAACGGAAAAGACACTGGACTTCAAGTCAAAATGATCACATTGGAGTCCCAAGTCTGCTACCTAGCAGCAATCCAAGTCACAACCTTTCTGGACTTTTGTTTCCCGATACGAAAGAATGCTTAAACTACTTAGCTCACAAACAAGGTAGCAGAGTAGAATCAGAGGATTTGTGGTAAAATTCCACCTCTGAAACATTGCCTGTATGACTCTGGGTAAGTCATTTCTCATCTCTGGCTTTCAGTTTCCTCATGAGGAAAACAAGAGGGTGGAACTAGATTATTTTTAAGGTGTCACTCAGCTTTAAATTTATGAACCTATAATGAAGGTATTTGTGAGGAATGTGCTTCATAAGCTAAAAAGTTTACATAAATATGACATTATTATTGTAAATGTAAAAGTTGTAAAAACATACTTCCCTATCAAATTGAGACCTTACAGAAGCACACAAGCAAAAAAACGAAGCCACAAAAACCACCCCTGACCCTCTCCCTTTTGAGTTAAGTATCACAGGACATTCTACTGGAAAAAAGGTACTTCTTGCTCATATACAGTATTATATTCCTCATACACTGACTTCCCTAGGAAAAAAAATAGAAATCTCTGTTTAAATTGTTTCAAATTCAAAACCACAGTTCTAAAAGAAGTAACTTGAGTCAGCAGTTTATTTACTGACAATAATTTACATTACTGACAAGTAATGCTTTATGGTATATGTAAACAGAACTTCATTCAAGAGCGGACACTAATGCAGGGGTTCTTAAGCTTTTTTTCAAGATATGGAATCCCTTGTAACTCTGGTGAAACCTATGGACCCCTTCACAGAATAATGTTTTTAAATGCATAAAATAAAATACACAAGATTATAAGAGAAACCAACTACATTAGTAATAATAATATCTAACATTTATATAGTGCTTATTATGTGCCAGGTACTGAGCTAAGTGTTTTACAATTTTTATGGCATTTGATCCCCACAATAACTCTGGGAGGTAGGTGCAATTATTGTCCCCCTTTTACAGATGAGGAAACTAGGTAAATAGAGGTTAAGTGACTTGCCCACGGTGATACAACTAGTAAGGGTCTGAGGCCACATCTGAACTCAGGTTTTCCTGACATTAGTCCTGGTGTTCAATCCACTATGACCTTAGCATCAAATAAAGACGTCATTCATTTCCCACTCAAGTTCATAGACTCTCTAAAGTCTATCTGAAGACCCCTTGCTCTGTCTACCTCAGATGAAGAAACCTTCTATTACGGGTATTATCCCATCTCTTGAATCCCTCCAGGGCAATATTTCACACAGAACAAAAAGCTTGTGTACATTAATTATTATATAAGTATATTTTCCAGTGATTAAGTAAACCTTAAAATTATACACAACTAGGTTGGGCTTATAATTATACTAATCCACGGTGGTGGTGTTTAAAGGCCCCTTTTTCCATTCTCTATCAGTACATTAAACAGGGATAATTAATGGTATTAATTAAAGAAAACAGACAAGACATATGAATCACTTACCCTGTAGAACAGGATCAGCTTCTCCATGGTAATTCAGGTAGTATTCATTGCACAAAGCTGCCAGGGCTGACACAGCAGCTTCCTAAAATAAAGTCAAACCTGGGAGGTTATAAAAAGCTTCTATGACTTGAAGAGATGACTAAGAAATAATTGTACTATTAATGACTATAAGCATAGTGATTCTTTATTTTTAATCAATAAAAATAGAAACAAGATGATGTCATTCCTTTCTAAGATATATATGTTCCAAACTCATACCATAAAAGATTCTCTTTGGAGTTAATCAATTCAAAATAGAGTAGATAAATTGGTTCTCCATCAGGATCAATGTTCTCAAAACACTAAAGGCAATTCTAAACAATATTTTTCTTCTCATCCAGTGAAATAAAATAGGAAAAAAAATACCATCATCACAAGCAGAAATTAACCCAAATTAGCTCATTTTTATAAATGAACTTCAACAGAAAAAACATTCAGATGGAAAGATCACAACTCAGTATCAGTAATGTTAAATTAGTATGACAAGTATGTCTGAACTGTCAAGAACTGTAAGAAAACAATGAAGAGAAAATACTGTAAAAGGAGAGAAGACAACATGTTTTGGAAAAAAAAACACAGTTTTTCAGAAAAATCCTGTATAGATTATAGATTTATAGCTGGAAGGGGTATAGAAGTCATTTAGCTGGACCCACTTTACTTTCTTAAATTTTATTTTTCCAATTAACACACATTTCTTTTCTTCTCCCAATTCCCTCACCCCTAATGTGAAAGGAAAAAATCTAAAAAAAAAAAAAAAAACCACCTTGCACAACCTAGATTTCCAGTAAATCCTGGAGTATTTACATAAGACTCTTCCAGATTGATTCCAGATGATTCAGTGGAGAGGTGGAGTTGATGCAATCACTTTTGAAAGCAGAGACATTCTTCATTCTTACTAGGTGAGAGATACATAAGTTTCTAGATTTCCTTCAGAGATCCATGGGGGCAGGGGAAAGGTTTTCAAAAGGGAGATATGCAGAGGAAAGCTGGCTCCTCATTTCTTTGATTTCTACCTAGCCTGTCCAGAGACTTAGGTGAATTTCCCTTTTGATGAGATTGTGATCTCTCTTTTGGTTGAACAGAGATACCTCTGCTCTAAGTACAGGGCTATTTACTTAGGGTATTTTCTGTTATATTCTAATTTGAAAAACTTCTCTGATTTCTGTTTGTTATTTCGGTGGATAAATGGGTTTGTATCAACATTTGTGATGGTCTTTGGTGTAATCAGCTTTTCATTGGCAAGAGTCAAGCCTATGGGTATAAGCTTTGGGTTTTACCTTCATTATTTGCATTATACCTATACGTTACTCCTTTAAGTGATAACAATGAGGAAAGTGATGCAGGTAGGTGGCTCAACAGCTAGATCACAGGGCCTGGAATCAGGAAGAACTGAGTTCAAATCTGAACTCAGATACTTACTAGCTGTGTGAACTTGGACAAGTCACTTAACCTCTGTTTGCCTCAATCCACTGGAAAAGGAAATGGTAGCATTGGTGTGTTATGGTTCATAAAGATCAGACACAACTGAACAAATGAACAACAATAACAGTCAAGAAAGTAGCCTGAACCTTAAAAAAAAACAATTTCCTAGAACAGCAATATTTAAGAAGGGCAGACAAATATAATCTGAATCCAGTACCCCTCTCTTTCTGAAGAAAATAGAACAGCCAGACTCAATATAGCTTCTATTACTCCCCTACAGCCAGGGAAAAAAATCTTATATAGATGCCAGTAAGATGGCAGAAATCTATCAATACTTCCCTGTAATTTATTTTTAGACAATCCATGTGGACATATATATCTTAAATAGGCAACACATATCATATCTGTAATAAATATGCATTTTGAAGAAAAAGAAATTCTCACATTATCCTTGTCCAAAAATGTATGACTCATTTTGTAACCTGAATCCATCCGTCACTATAAGGAGTGAGTAGCACAGATAATCCTCAGTCCTTTGGAATCCTGCCAACCCACTTTAAAATGATTCATTTTATAAATGAGGAAAGTGAAGTCCCAAAAGGCAAAGAGCTGGGACATGAACTTAGGTTCTTTGACTTTAAAATGCCTAGCTCTAAAAAGACTGGCTCTATTTAATATGTCATTCTCAAGAAGTGAATGGTGATCAGTTGAATTCAATTATTAAGTGCCTATTATGTACAAATCACTTGTTAGGTGCTAGCCTCACAAAGACAAAAGTGAAAAAAGTCCTCTGTTTTTAAGGAGCTTACAGGTCTTGGATGAATACAGTCGCGAACACTGTATAGATGAGTAAATACAAATTAATTTCAAGAGGGTGACACTAGATGAATCCTTGGGTAGGAAATAGCAATGGCAAATAGCCATTCTCTGAAGGAAGCTACACATTCTGTGTGGCTAAGGTGAGGAGGGAACACATTCCAGATATGGGAGAACATCTGTGCAAAACTATGGAGGTAGAAAACAGAATTTTGCATACATTAAACAAGTAGGAGGCCAGTGCGACTAGAAACAAGCATGGATGAAATCAAGCTAAAAGCATTTATTAAGTGCCTATGTGCCAGTCACTGGTTTGTAACATAATTTTTAAAAGATCAATAATTTTATTAAAATAGAATTTGAAAAAAACACAATTTATAAAGTACACAGGAACAGATAACATTAAAAACTGAGATGACAGGCAGGATGGAAATAGTGGGTTTTGAAAGAGCCTAAGGTAATTTAGCGACCAAATCCCATTCATGTTTTAAGAGTTAAAAGTCTTATTTCATTAAAAAAGCTAATCTGATGGTAATAATATTATTGTAACCAATGGCCCCTTTGAGGAGCAAAGATGATAGACATCTCACAATTCCAAAGTCTAAGTGTAACATAACACTGAATTAACACAGTCATGCTACTTTCCCGCCACTTTCATTACCTCAACTTGTACTATGCATGTAAAAAACTTGGTTCAACTACAAACGAGGGTTCTACTCTCAAAATATTTACACAGAAGCATATTAGTGAAAGTGTAGGAAAAAGAAAGATAACTTTATTGAATTCTGGAAGACAACTTAAATTATTCAAGTACTAGTCAAGTCATTTCTAACCTATATTATGATTGGCACAGACTTTCTTGAACATCCCTTCTGAATCTAACAGTCTATATATAAATTTATGAATTTCTGGTACCACACTACAGAACTGTAAAAGTCATCTGAACTTGCAAACATGAAAAGAAATTAATAAAATAGGAAAAAGAAGTATTTGCAAGGAGAACAAAAAGTAAAGAATATAGGTATCACTATCATTGATAGCAATACCAGGGTTTTACCAATCAAAGTAGAATATACTATATATAATTATAACATTATTAATTATAACAAATATAATCATTATGATATTGACAAAATTATAAGAGGAAAGTTAAGTATAGCACATAGATAGAGGGCTGGAACTGGAATCAAGCAAAATGAATTTAAGCTTTGCCTGCTTGTGTGATCTTGGACAAATGACTTAACTTCCCTAGATACTATGTACCAGGGATGTAATAAGTAGTTTACAAATATTATCTCATTTCATCTTCACAACAATCATTTGAAGTAGGTGCTATTACCACACTCATCTTACCATAGAGGAAACTAAGGCAGACAGAGATTTAAGTAATTTGTCCAGGGTCATTCAGTTAGAAAGTATGTGAGGCTAGATTTGAACTCAGGTCTTCCTGACTCTAGGCTACTACATGGATAGTGCCCTATTCATGGTGCCAGATAGTTGCCTCTATAAACACTTAGTACCTTGATACGAAAAGAGAGAAAAAAAAACAGAAAATAATCACAGGCATGATTTTGTGAAAAGTCGGAGTGTGAAAAGATAATTGTACCTTGATATGCTGTCTTGAAGTACTTGAGATAAGATGGAGATTTTTTAAACTATCACTTATTAACCACTGCCAGCTACCTGTTAAAAAAGAACAAAAATATATATTTACCTAATAAAGTAGCAAAGAAAATACCTACAGTAAAAAAGCAAAAACAAACAAACAACTTGATTTTTGTAATACTTTTTATATCTTAATAGTTTTCCTGGTATATCAGTTCTTTCAGGAAAAAGAGTTCAGGAGAAAAAATAGGTCTATATGGATGCAAGGGTGGGGAACCTGCAGCCTTGAGGCCACATGTGGCCTTCTAAGTTCTCAAGTGCAGCCCTCTGACTGAATCCAAACTTCACAGAATAAATCACCTTAATAAAAGGATTTGTTCTGTAAAACCTGGACCCAGTCAAAAAGCCAAGCCCAAAGACCTAGAAGGCCATATATGGCCTCGAGGCCACAGATTTACCCCTGAATAGAGTCAAGTACCCTTGGGTAACTCTACAGAGTCCCTTAAACAAAAGCTTAGCGTAACAGACAAGGAAGTATGTCTTAATATGTACAAAAGTATAATTTTAAACGGTAAAATGCCTTTGGAAACATTATCACAGAAATGATGATAAAATCTAGCCATATTAAAAATGTTTTTTACTAAAAAAAAAAATCTAGACACATCCATCGGGGTCCCTCTCCATTTTACATCAAGCTGTGACTTCTTTTAGTTAAGGTAGTAACTCTGTTAAAAGGATATAAAAATTAGATCTCCCAAAATATTTTTTGAATTAATAAGTCATTTTCTCTCTCTTCTACCATCCCATCTTTCCCCATTTAAATAATGACCAAAAAAAAAAAAGGAAATGAAAATCCTCATAACAAATATGCATAATTGTAAGCCAAGTATATTTCTACATTGCCCTCCTTAATGGCCAAGTCCAAAAAATATATCTCATTCTGCATTTTGAATCAATCACCAATCTAACAGGACATACATAGCATTGTTCATAATACATTCTCTGGAGGCCTGGTTGGGCACTGTATTTATCTGACTTTCAAAATATTTTTGTTGTTCTTTTAACAATGTTGTTTTCTTTGTATAAATTGTTCTCCTAGTTCTGCTCACTTTACAGCAGGTCATACAAATCTTCTCAGGTTTCTGTGAAATTGTCCTTTTTGCCATTTTGTATGACACAGAAATATTCCATTACATTCATATGCCACAATTGATGCACACTCTTCTTGTTTCCAATTCTTCGCTCTAACAAAAAAGCTACTATAAATATTTTTGTATATATAAATTCTTTTCCTTTCTCTTTAATCTCTCTGAGGTATATGCTCAGTAGTATCACTGGGTCAAAGGATAATATACTCAAGGCAGCCGGGTGGCACAGTAGATAGAGTGCTAGGCTTGGAGTTAACCTGTTTGCCTCAGTTTCCTTAATAGGAATAATAATTACAACTTCATACGTTGTTGTAAGGATCAAATAATAACAGTCAACAATCCACCACCTGACAGAAATGCCACAAGCTACTCGAGAGATCGAGGTCTATACTGGAAAAGCTAAGAGGACAATTTTAGTCTCAGTGTAAGATGTGATCCTCCTGGCTCAGCTTCTCCATTGTGTTCCTTTGAAAAGCAATGTTACCCACCCGGCTATTCCTGAGTCTGGCTATGAGGTGGAACTGATACTGCATGGTTGGAAAACTACGAATTAACTGAATTCTAAGAATGTTTTAATCCTGCCATACTTAGTATAAATCTTGTCCCTGCTTTATCTTTTTATAGCAAATTTCTATAATCAGAACAAGTAAAAGATATAAGCACAATGCAAGTGTGTGAGATCTTGCTGTTTTGACCTGAAAATATCCCATATCCATATCCCAAATTACTGAAATTAAATCAGTAACATCTTCAATTTGGTTTGGGGAAGAGAATTTTAGTGCAATTAACCTATCTGGCCTAATCACTACTTAAGTATCCTCCCAAGTCTTTTGTTATCTGGCCAAGGATGGAAAACTTCTACTGGGAAAAGTGTTGTTACTTCCCAATAGCATCTGATCCTCTTAAAGGAATTTGGAATCAGAATGGAAACTTTCAAGAAAGTAACAAGATCAGGTTAAATGTAAATAATTTTAATGGGGCTCTTGTACTTTTACTCCTCCCTATATTTTGGCCCTAGAGACTTGCTTATCAGAATTGTGTCTTCTAGACTACAAGCCATTTACCTACATTTGGCAGCAAACAGTGGGTACCAGACTATTTCTCTCCATTGTCCCCTGCATGCAGCCTGTGCCCCCTTACAGTTAACTTCCTCCGTAGGACTCCAGCAAGGCAGGGACAGCTCTAGGCTCCTTGCCAGCAGTAAGCAGTTTCAGAAGCCAAGACCTTCACCTCATCTCAAAAGAATTTAGGTCCCATTTGTTTGAGGGGGGTATGACTGGGTATGCACTCCAGACCCCTTCCCTTTTTGAATTTTCCCATGAATTCCAGGAACCCTGGTATTTGCCTGAGGCATCCTCAAATAATCCTTCCAAATGTCCTTTCACAATGGTCTGACCTTCAATTCTCTGTTACCTCTAACTTAGCCCAGCCCTTTGTTGTCTGTTACCTCCAGATCATCACAGCCTCTTCCCACATTTGATTCCATCTAGACCCACTCCTTGTCCATCTTGCCCCATTAAATTGCCCAGATTCTTAAAATCCAGCCAATAGTGCAGATTCTTAAAATCTCGCCCAACTCAACCAAAGTTTTAATGAACCTTGTCTCTGACTGAAAGAAGTCTTGACTTGAATTTTTTCAAGGAAGGACCCGCATCTCTCGCCTTGAATTTCGGAGTTCCCAGCATCCCTAGACCGAACCTGTGTCATACTTTGGGTATGGGTACTTCTGGATACAGATCATTCTTGGTCCTGATTACAGAGGCTAAAACTAGGCCCCATCTTCTCTAGGAATTGTTTGGCCCTGTCTCTTGCCACTACTTTCCTAAAATACCCCTCCAAATTTTAAAATGGAAAATTCCTAACAGATGCATTTCTGGTTATCATGATTTGATAGCAATGGAGAATGAATAGGAGAATAAATAGATAATAAACTAGCAAAATAAACTACAGGCCCAGGTTATCTGGATGCAACATTAGGCTGGGGCTGCATAGATACTGCTTGGGGCATTTCTTCTACTGTAATTGGGGCAATGAGGCTACCCTGGGACTGAAGCCTTTCTTCTGATGCTCTGGGATTCTTTTTTTTTTTAAGCTTTCAGATAGTTTAATAACATTAACAAATAAATATTCCAAACTGAATCAGCTACAGGGATATGGGGAAAAAAGGGAATGCTGTGGGATAGAGGGAGAGGCCTTAGGGATAAAGCAGAGACGATGGGCTTCTGTCCAGTGTTGATGGGGAGCGTTCTCTTGCTCTCTTTCTCTCCCTCTTGGGATCTCTCAGAAATGGAGAAGATCTCTCCCGGGCAGAGTCTCTTGATCAGAGACAGAGGGAGGGAAGTAAAATCCCTCGCCAGGGTGGTCAGGGATTCATTTAGGATGGGTTAGGTGAAATGGGAAGGGGTAGAGAAAGCAGAGGTAGACTCTAGGAAGTGCCCAGGATGCTGGCTTCCAGATATAACAAGGGACAAGGCAGGGCAGGGGAGCAGGTCAGAGAACTAGATGGGTAGAGTTGGGAGGAAAGCTTGACAAGGTAAACAAAAAACTCTGAAGTTGAGTGGTTATTGGGAGGCCATGAAGCAGGAGAGATGTGGAAGACATAGGGGACCCTCACAGCACATCCCTTCAGCACTCACTCCCTGATGTAGACCCTGGTGCACACCACATCATCTGCCGTCATGGTCAGGATCACCTCTCCATCACTGGTCAGCTCCTGGGACCAGGAGGTCTTGGGTTCCTCCCCTTTCAGGAGTCTCTGTTCACAGACCATCTTGTTCTGATTTTCCCACTTCACCAGGCTCTTATAGGGCCTCCCATCCACTGTCTGCTCCTCAAACTCTTCCCCGATTTTGAAGTTAATCTCAGTGGTCCTCACAGTGGTAAAAGTTTTGATGTAGAAACTCTCTCCATCCTGTTTAATCTCCACTGCTGGCTTTGAGGCAGCTGCCACAGCAATCTTCCTTAGCATCACATTCACTCCCAATGCTTTGAGCAAGCCCTCAAAGTTTTCTGAAAAGATGATCTTCCAATTCCTGGAGAAGCTGGACATCTTGGCAGAAAGTGGGTAAACTTTCCCCTGGAAATGGGGCTTGGAGTACTGGAAGCTCCAAGAGCCACCTCTTTCTCCTTCCCACCGAGGGATCTCTAAGCACCACGAGCAAAGGAGACAATCACCACAAAACCCCAAAGCTGGGCAATGCTCTGGGATTCTTGTACCATCTTAGCACTAGGCTTTCCTGAGGGCCTTTCTTTCCACTGCCTCAAGATCCAGCTTGGATCTGTTCTGGTCTTCTGCCTACACCAGAAGCCACCCGGTCTGAGATCAGGTTGCTTCCCACTTCACCATGTCTTCCATCTGCTCTGGTTTGTATCTATTCAGAGCCTCCACAGGATTCACAGGAGTTTTGCAATCTTTTTGTGTACTCCTGGTTTGGATAACATGTATAATTGATTTGCTTTGGGTTTTCTTTTTCTTTCAATCTAGTACATTTTAGAGAAAAAAAGCTGGAGCATTTGTGAAGTATCTGGATTTCTCTATACTCTATACCACTACTTTCCTAAAATACCCCTCCAAATTTTAAAATGGAAAATTCCTATGACCTTGACCTAACAGATGCATTTCTGGTTATCATGATTTGATAGCAATGGAGAATGAAGAGGAGAATAAACAGATAATAAACTAGCAAAATAAACTACAATGATTGAAAGCTACTAATTGAAGTGAAAAAAATTACTTACCAATTACAGGATCACCTTGAAAAGGCATTTTGGAAAGTGACAAATTTTTTATCAAGGTGCAAACTAGAAGAAAAAGGAAATTTTTTTAAACTTTCATAAAAAATTCCAAAGAAATATTTCAATTTTAAAAATTAATTCTGTTGCCAATCTAGAACCTGAAAGCTACAGGTCAGTGATTTCAAACTCAAGTAGAAAGGGGGCCACATAAGGATCCCTGTGGACTGCATACTGACCTAGTTTTAAAATGTGATATTATCTATGTTTTATTGTATTTTTATTTATTTCATTAAACATTTCCCAATTACATTTTAATCCGGTTCCAAACTTTTGCTGTAGGTAGAATCTTCCTAATACATCAAAAACATAAATCAGTTTCCTCTATATTGTTTTGTTATTACAAATTACCCAAAAATCTAAATATGTTTGCTAGACAACCAAGTCTGTACTCCTGAATTTTTTTTTCTGGGATTTAAATCATGATAAGAATAAGTTCAAGGGGTAAGCACAAAGGTACAACTACCTTAGACTTAGGCCAGACACAGAGGAGGCTGCAAAAATGTGTCAGAACTTGTAGAAGTACCTCCCTGCTGTACTGGAAACTGGACTTAGTTCAGGGAAGAATCCAGATGGTATACATAGGTTTCCTGAGCCTATTCAATTATGAACCTGTCCCATAGGCTTTAGAGTTTTCCAAAGATTCAGGCTACTTGGAGAGAAGGAGGTTGTTACAATCATGTTGCAATTGTGGAATGGTATAGAATAATCAATCTCTACATCTGTGATTTATTTAACCCAAAGTTACTTACTAGTAAGCTTAACTATATAGAGGTTTATCATCCTTGTTAGCTATTATGGTAGCTGGCACATGTGCTTGGAATTGTTTTTAAAAGTTTTCTGTCCCAAAAGGTATTCTTATTTTGTGACCTGCTAAGGTAGGAACTGAGTTTCTATAAAATACAGGGTGACTACCATATGCACAGAAGGAACCAGCCTCTTCAATGGTTCCACACAATTCACATCAGGAAGCAAGTAATTAGAAAGTTACTTTGCCTACACCTGACTAGTGTGTGAGGAGACCTATTTGGGACATTTTCAGAGAAATAAGAGAAGAAAACAAGGGAAGGGAAAAGGTATTTATTAAGTGTCTACTACCTGCCAAGTATTGAGCTAAATGCTTTACAAATATTATCTCTTTTGATTCTTATAACATCACTGAAAGGTAGGCATTATTATGATCCCTATTTTACAGGTGAAGAAATAGAGGCAGACAGAGGTAAGTGCTGGTGTTACACAGCAAGAATTAATTAGCAAGTCTGAGGCTGGAGGAACTCTGATTGTCCCGACACTAGGCCCAGTACTCTGTCCACCATGCCATCTAGCTGTCAATAAGCTCCTGACCAGTAAATGGGTTACTCAATTATTCTCTGGAGTCAAGAACTGCCAAAGATAAAAGAAATCATCATCTTTGGCAGTTCTTACACCAGTTGATTAAATCACTGAACTACTAGGAGATGGAGTGAGGCCAGGCCAAGAATGATAATCATAGGACAGCAAAGCCCAGTGAAAAACCTAACTCAAAGGGTCTCAATGTGGTAGTGTTTTATGAAAATGTGGAAGAATGGACTATAGGTGATTGCTTTGAAGATTTTGATAAAAGAAAGCCCCTAATTTGCTGCTACCTTCGCATTTTACATAGTAAACAAAAGGGACATACACTCTACATAGACATGGAGGTAAGTGCCTTCAGATAAGGGCTGAACTCATGCTAAAGACCTGATATTGCTAACTAGTGTTAACTAATATTTTCTCTACAGAAATATGTAAAAATCTACTTTGTACCTTTGACTACATCTCATGAAGCAGTAAAAGTTAAAGGAAAAGAAGATGGTAACTTGAAATGAAAGGGAAGAATTTAATGCGAGTCCTCAGAAAAGCTCTATCTTGAGATCTAGCACAATAATGACCGTCTCAATGGTCAAACTATGAATTTGCCCTTTGATGGCACAGTGGAAAAAGCACTGAATTAGGAAAGTAGAGCACTGACTAAGAAGAAGAATCAGGAGAAGTGGATTTGAATCTGGGTTCTATTAATTACTACTTATTATAATATTGGGTAAATTATTACAAATAATTTATTCCACTTTAAGGTTTATAGAGTACTTTCCTCAGAAGACACTTAAGAAGTTGGTAGGGCAAGTATTATAACCCCATCTTGCAGATAAGGAAACTGAGATTTACTGAGGTTCTTAGAAACATAGATCTAGAACTGGGAAGAATTCCCAAAGTTATGTTTATCTCATTTTGTGTATGAAGAAACTGCAGTTTGGTGAGATTTCCAGAATCATGTAACTATTAAATATGCAAATTAGGATTTGAATCTTTCATGATTTTAAGTTCAGCTCTTTTTTTACTATGACCTCTCCCATCCTTAATTTTCACATCTGTAAAATGAGGAGGCAGGAAGAAATGATCTCTAAGGGCCTTATCTACATTTTTATGATTAATCCAATTGCAAGACAAAAGTAGAAGGTCCCCCACAAAGGCAGTAATCCTTAAAGGATGGAGGTAATGAAAAAACATAATAAAGACTACTTATGTTTATGTAGCATTTTGATGATAATTGCCATGCTATTCTTATTAAGGAAAACATGAGGGCAGCCAGGTGGCACAGTGCAGGGTCGGGAGTTAGGAAGACTTATCTTTCTGCTCTGGCCTCAGACACTTACTAGCTGTGTGACCCTGGATAAGTCACTTACACTATTAACCTCAGTTTTCTCATCTGTAAAATGAGCTGGAGAAGGAAATGGCAAACTACTCTAGTATCATTGACAAGAAAACCCCCAAATGGGGTTACAAAGAGTTAGACACATCTGAAAAATGACCAAACAAGAAAAGTTAACAACTCTTATTAAGGCTGAGAAACAGCGTGGATCTGCTAAATATATTCTTCTACCCCATCTCCAACTAAGTCACTATTTTCAGGAGAGAAATGCTGAGCAAGTAAGCTGGGGAAAGCACATGTTTTCTCATCCAATGGCCGCATTACAGCTCCAAATAGCTGATCCTGAATCACAGAAACTCATCCATTAAAATCAGTCACCCACTACATAGAAATGATTATCATCTGTGCAGCTTTAGTCTAAAGGGCAAAAACAATGTCTTTATATCTAGCAAAATAAACCAAATATTGCAAAACCATTATATAATGCTAATCAAAAGTTCATTGACTGTTGAACTGCCAATTTTAATTATTCATATTGATAGGAATATGTTAATAGCTGTCAAATACACAAGAAATTTAGCTAAACCACAACTGCCAATAGCTCAGCAGAGCTCCAGGTCACTGTTGAAGCACACTGACCAAACACAGGCGATTTAAATATTCCCAGAAACTTGTCTATGCGTATTAAAAAAAATTGCATTTTTATAATTTTGGCATTCATCATTTATTCCAAATTAATTTCAGCAGAAATAAAAATATATTGAAAAAATATAATGAACCATGGCAAGTTTAGTTCTGTATCATAAAATTATATAATACTAGCATTAGAAGATATCTCAGAGACAATATAGTATAAACAATGGGCAGGCCCTTTCCTATCCCAAGCCTTGTTTGTATTTTTCTTAAATTTATTTGGTAAAGAATACATCTGCCAAATAATTTTACGTTGTTTTGCATAAATACCTGTGGTCAAACCTGTTCGTTATGTTGCATGGTGTCCCTTTGTGGCATGAGAGAGCCACATAGGAGAAACAGACCTTTCCTGGCACAGGCCTATAAGTTCAACACTCAGCCCACTATAAGAAAGTTCTCTTAAACTGGGGGCATGAGCAAGAGCCATTTTATAACTATACTTTTAAGTGGAGAATCACTATGAATCCATGCATAAACCTACATCATAGAAGGAAGTCCAAATTACAAACATAAACCACATGAGGGCAGGGACTGTTTTATGTTTTTATGCTTGTATATTCTAGAATATAGTACAAAATGATATTCTAATTGATTTGACCACTTATTTAAAGGATATTATGCATGTTGTGGTGATGGGACACTAATGATGGACCCCTAAAAGGTCCTGGACTTTCCCACGTGTCCCAGGTCCCTGGCGTTTGCCTGGAGCATCCAAGTCCTTCTCTGTTACCTCCTAGTCACTCCAGACTACTTGTCCACTCCTAGGTCACATCCAGATCTTCTCAGAGTCTTTCTGTATAAAAGGCCCATCTTGCCTCCATTAAAGGGCTCAGATACCTTAAGAGTCTGGCTCAGTTGTATTCTCATTACAAAGGTTCAGATCCTTAAAATCTGGCCAATAGCATGGATTCTTAAAATCTTGCCCATTTCAATCGGTGTTTTAATAAACCTTGTCTCTGACTAAAAGAAGGCTTGACTCAAATTCATTCAAGGCAGGATCTGCCTCTTCTGCCCTTGAATTTTGGGGTTCCCAGCACCCCTAAACTTCAACAGTGGAGAAGCATTCTCCTAACCCCTCATCTCTCTTCAAGAAAGTTTTAAAGAAAAACTATTTCTTCAAAATGTACTTGAAGACTGGATTGGCTCAGAGGATAAAGGTTCAAACTGTTGAACCTAAATTACCCAGGGTTTAGCCTGAGTCAGACCCAGCCCAGTAAAAACTGACATACACTAGAAAGGCTGGAACATCATAAGGTCCTTGAAGTGGGAGATAGGCAAAGCAGCAGAAAGAGAACCTAGCCTGGCCTTCATGCTTTCTGGCAGAGTGCTTTTTTTTCCCTTTTTTTTCTTTTTTACTAATTTGATTTATCAATAATCACTTCCATGAGCTTTTGAGTTTTAAAATTTTCTCCCCCTCCCTCTTCCCCTCCCTCCCCAAGATGGCATGCAATCTGATATAAGTTATACATATACATTCCTATTGAATACATTTTCACATTAGTCATGTTGTAATGAAGAATTAGAAGCAATAGGAGGAACCCCAAGAAAGAGGAAACAAAAGAAAACAGAAGAGAAAAAAGAGCAGACAGTATGCTTCAATCTGCATTCAAACTCCATAGTTCTTTCTCTGGGTGTGGATAGCATCATG